TGTGTATTGAAAGGATAAGGGAGAGAGGAGAGGACGACGCAGGTCTGGGTCAGGTTCGCTGGAGCTCGGGTTTGCTGGATTTTGCGCGAAGAAGACGAGGGTAGGGGTTGTTTTTGGGACGGTTGGGAAGAGAATTGGTGGGCCGAGTTAAAGAATGTGGGCCAAAAATTTGTGATCTCCTTGTCCACATGGGTCTTTAAAGGATGATTGAAGGACTTGGCCCTTTCACCGTATTTCAATTAAATCGCATGCGAAATAAATTATGTATTTAATTAACTATTAAGCTTCTTAAATTTAACAATGTAAAATGATCAGTCAACATCACAATTAAAATTATTTTAATAAATAAAAAGAGTAGTTATGTACCCTAATTGATTTTTGAGGAAATAAAATGCACCCTTATTTAAAATGTAAAATGATCATTTAACATAACAATTAAAACTATTTTGAAATAAAAAAGTAGTTATGTACTCTAATTGATTTTCGAGGAAATAAAATGCACAATTAGTTAAAACTCTATTTTTAGTAAACAATTTTTTTTCTAAATATTTATTCAAAGTAATAAATACATAAATCTATATATTATAAGTATAAGAAGATATATATATATATATATATATATAAAATTAAGGAAAATGACCAAATTTCCTCAAAAATAGTCTCGAAAGATTCATAAATAATTTATTTCAAATTGTTTGAAATCAAAGAAGCTTGAAAATTTACTAAATAGTGGAGGGCCAAAATTGGGTGTCAATAGAGGGACTTCCCTTCAATTGCTAGGAATGATGGAGATAGTGATTGGCGGGATCAACCTTACCCTTCTTGAAGTCAACCGACTCAGTAGGGTGCTTCTTCTAGTGTGGGTGGAAAATAGTGCTAGGACAAGTCTTATGTTCTTAAGACTTGTCATGTTCAGGAGAGTTCTCCCGAATAGATTCCTGGTATGTTTTGAGTCTTTTTGGTTTGATGTATATGCTTTGGTAAATCTAGGTGTTTTATTGTCTGTTTTCTGACTCCTTATATGGGTATGAAGTTGGTGTCGATCTTGAAATCTTTATAGAACCTTTTTATAGTATCTACTCCTGTTAGTGATTCCATTTGCCCAATTTCAGCTTCCTAGAAAACCAACTCATCTTTTACATTACAAAAAGGTTTTTATGGTTGTCAATGAGTAGTGTTGCTCACATTGAGCATGAAAAAAAGGAGTTAGTTCATGATGTTCATAAACTAGATGGATTGGATGTTCGCTTGGTTTATTCTGATGAGGGTGGTATCATTGTTCAAAATGGCTTAGAATCGTCTCTTATTTCAGATGTAAAAACTAAGATAGATTTTGATCTAATTATAGTTGAGTTGAAGAAGGTAGTTTCCAAAAAATCCATTGAGGCTTTCTCCCAAGATGGGGATGGTGTGATTCATTACAAAGGTCGGTTATATGTTTCAAATGTTGATGAGTTTAGGCGTTAGATTTTGATGAAAGCTAACAATTGTTAATATTCTACTCACCCGGGATCCACCAAGATGTACCGTGATTTACAAGAAGTTTATTGGTGGAGTGAGATGAAGAAGGACAATATGGAATTTGTGGCTATGTATCTTAATTGGCAACATGTGAAAGTTGAGCATCAAAAACTGTGAGGTTTGGCTCAAGACATTTGCATTCCTACTTAGAAGTAGGAAGATTTCAATATGGACTTTATTACGAGTTTACCCCGCACCCAATGAAAATTTGATTCTATATAGGTTGTTGTTGATCGGATGACTCAGTCGGCTCATTTTATTCCTATAAAGACTTGATTTTCAGTCGAAGACTATGCTAGGCTTTATATTTAGGAAATGGTGAAGTTGCATAGAGTGTCTTTATCCATTATCTCTGATTGATGTACTTAGTTTACTTCTTAGTTTTGGAGGTCGTTTCAGGAAGGTCTTGGCACTCAAGTGAAGGTTAGTATGGCTTTTATCCTCAAACCGATGGTTAAGCTGAGAAGACTATTCAATCTTTGGAAGATATTATTAGCATGATGGATAACTAAATGATTGTATATATTAATGTAATTATATAGTGATATAAATTAGCATGATCATATACATTTGTTGTAGAATCATATGAATAAATATTGTGATAGAATAGCTGATTTGGAGGGATAGCAAGGCAGATTTAGAGGGATTCAATGGCAGATTTGTATAGATAGAATAGATGATCTTTAGGGATAGGAATGGCGGATCTTTAGGGATGTGTAATCTTTATTTTCTCTATATAATGGAAAGACTCTCTCACTTTGAGAGGGATTCAGCTGAAAATTGACATGGTATTAGAGCCTTCTCTTGGCTGTCTTGTTTCATAGAGTCATCTGTGGTTCCTTTTAATTTTTTTTGAAAATCTTGGTTTTTGGCTACCTCTTGGGAATTTTGTTCTTGGTCATTCTAGTTGCTTTCTTGAGTCTTTGTAGTTTTATAGCTATTCAAAAGCATGAATTCACATCACTTTGAATCCTTCAGTGTTCGTTTCACTGGAAAAAAATATTCTTCTTGGGAGTTTTAATTTCAGTTGTTTGTCACCGGCAAAGAACTATGGGGCCATATAGATGGAAGCGATCCTGCTCCTACTGATGCAACAAAGCTAGGTGAATGGAAGATTAAAGATGCTAGGGTGATGACATGGATTCTAGGTTCAATTGACCCTCTTATTGTTCTTAATCTCAGGCCGTACAAGACATCTAAGGCCATGTGGGATTACTTACAAAATGTTTACAACCAAGATAATAGCGCAAGACGCTTTCAGTTGGAGTATGAAATTGCTAATTACTCTCAAGGAGGTCTTTCTGTTCAGGATTATTTTTCTGGATTTCAAAACTTATGGGCTGAATTTACAGATATTGTCTATGCCAAAATACCTACTGAATCTCTATCAGTGATTCGGGCAGTTCATGAACAAAGCAAGCAAGACCATTCTTTGATGAAATTATGCTCCGACTTTGAGAGTGTTCTCTCTAACTTGATGAATCGTGACCCGTCTCACTCTTTGGATGTTTGCTTTAGGGAATTACTTCGTGAAGAGCAACGTCTTGTCACACAAAATGCTTTTAAGAAAGAAAATGATGTCACTGTTGCATTTGCTGCTCAAGGTAAAGGAAAGGGCAGGGATATGAGTAGAACTCAATGCTACAGTTGCAAGGAATATGGTCATATTGCTAGCAATTGTAGCAAGAAGTTCTGTAATTATTGTAAACAACAAGGACACATTATCAAAGAGTGTCCCACGCGCCCTCAAAATCGTAGGATCAATGCTTTTCAAGCTAGGATAAATGGTTCCACTGATGATAACTCATCTTCAGGACAAGTTCTTACTCCTGAAATGGTACAACAAATGATCGTGTCAGCCTTTTCAGCATTGGGATTACAAGGTAATGATGTTACATCTAATTTTTGGATTGTTGATTCAGGCGCTTCCAATCATATGACCAACTCAACGAGCATCCTAAAAAATGTTCGTAAGTATCAAGGTCCATCACAAATACAGATTGCCAATGGTAGTAATTTACCCATTACCAAGGTTGGGGACATTACTCCAACTTTCAAGAATGTTTTTGTTTCACCAAAGCTCTCAACTAGTCTTATTTCAGTTGGACAATTGGTAGATAACAATTGTGATGTGAATTTTTCTCGTAATGGTTGTCTTGTGCAGGATCAGGTGTCGGGGACGATAATCGCGAAGGGGCCTAAAGTTGGACGATTGTTTCCTATACACTTTTCCATTCCTCCTGTTCTATCTTTTGCTTGTACTTCTACTGCTAGTAAAACTGAGGTTTGGCATAAGCGTCTAGGACATCTAAATTTTGTTGTGTTGTCTCATTTATCAAATTCTGGTTTATTGGGAAATAAAAATAAATTTTCAGTTGCTTCCATTGATTGTTCTACTTGTAAATTAGGCAAAAGTAAAACTCTTCCTTTTCCTAATTTTGGTAGTCGTGCTACAAAGTGTTTTGATGTCATTCATAATGATGTTTTGGGGCATTTCACCAATTATTTCTCATGCTCATTTCAAATACTTTGTGACATTCATAGATGATTATAGTCGGTTTACATGGGTGTATTTTCTTCGATCCAAATCTGAGGTATTTTCCATGTTCAAGACATTTTTGGCTTACATTGAGACTCAATTTTCTACATGCATCAAATTATTAAGATCTAACTCTAGCGGAGAATATGTGTCTTATGAATTCAAAAAATTCTTGCTTGACAAAGGAATTGTCTCACAACACTCTTGCCCATATATACCACAACAAAATGGAGTTGCTGAATGAAAAAATCGTCATCTTTTAGATGTCACTCGTACTTTATTGATTGAGTCCTCTGTACCAGCTAAATATTGGGTGGAAGCTTTGTCTACTGCTGTCTATTTAATTAATAGATTGCCATCTAAAGTGCTAAATTTTGAGTCTCCATATTTTCGTCTTTATCACCAAAATCTTAACTATAGTGATTTTCATACATTTGGTTGTGTTTGTTTTGTGCATTTGCCTCCTTCGCAGCGCAATAAACTTTCTGTACAGTCTACTAAATGTGCTTTTATGGATTATAGTACTTCACAAAAAGGTTTTATTTGCTATGATCCATGTTCTCACAAATTTCGTATTTCTAGAAATGTTGTTTTCTTTGAGAATCAATATTTCTTTCCTACGATTGTAGATCCATCTTATGTTTCTCCTCTACTTCCTACTTTTGAGGATTTATTATCTTCTTTCAACAGGTTCAAACCTGGATTTTTGTATGAATGACGTCGGTCAACTTTATCATATCTCGACACTGATCCGCCACCTAAAATTGTAACACAACTAGAATTTGAGAATTTTTCAAGATCTGGTCCTCTTGAGCCTACTCGATGATCTACCAAAGTATCTCGCACTACCAATTGGTATGGCTTTTCCTCTACTTTATCCAACATATATGTTCCATCTTGTTACTCACAAGCTTCCAAGCATGAATGTTGGCAGAAAGCAATGGAGGAAGAACTTTTGGCTCTTAAAGAAAATGACACATGGGACATTGTTACATGTCCTTCAAATGTCCGCCCTATTGGATGTAAATGGGTTTATTCAATCAAACTTCATTCTGATGGATCTCTTAATCGGTACAAAGCTCGATTAGCTGTTCTTGGTAACAGACAAGAGTATGGGGTGAACTATGAGGATACTTTTGCACCCGTAGCCAAAATGACTACGGTGCGAACTATTATTGCCATTGCTGCTTCACAAAACTGGTCTTTGTATCAAATGGATGTCAAAAATGCTTTTCTCCATGGTGATCTTAAAGAAGATATTGATATGAAACCTCCACCTGGTTTGTTCTCATCGCCTACATCAGATGTATGCAAGTTGAAGCGGTCTTTGTATAGATATTCTCATTGCCTACATCAGATGTATGCAAGTTGAAGCGGTCTTTGTATGGATTAAAACAAGCTCCAAGAGCTTGGTTTGATAAGTTTCGGTCTACTTTGCTACAATTTTCTTTTGAGCAGAGCAAATATGACTCATCTTTGTTTCTTCGGAAAACATCTACAGGTTGTGTTCTTCTTTTGGTGTATGTAGATGACATTATTATCACAGGAACTGATTCTTCACTAATCACTTGCCTCCAACAGCAGCTTAAAGATTCTTTATATCTTGGTACTCTTACTTATTTTTTGGGTTTGGAAGTTCATAATGTTGCTTCAGGTGTGTTTCTAAACCAACACAAATATACTCAGGATCTGATTTCTTTGGCTGGGCTTCAAGATTCCTCCTTCGTGGATACTCCATTGGAATTGAATGTGAAGTATCGTCGTGAGGAAGGCGGTCTTCTTCCTGATCCTACTATATTTCAACAATTATTTGGGAGTCTAAATTACCTTACTATTACTCGGCCTGATATCTCTTTTGCAGTTCAACAAGTTAGTCAATTTATGCAAGCTCCCCGTCATCTCCACTTGGTGGCTGTTCGTCGCATCATTCGGTATCTTCTAGGAACATCTACTCATGGATTGTTCTTTCCAAGTGGTTCTCCTATTCTTCTTAATGCTTTTACTGATTCTGATTGGGCGGGATGTCTTGATACTCGCCGTTCAGTCTCTGCTTGGTGTATATTTCTTAGAGAGTCATTGATATCTTGGAAGAGTAAAATGCAAGATCGTGTGTCAAAATCTTCAACAGAGGCTGAATATCGATCCATGTTTACTGCTTGCTCTGAGGTTGTATGGCTTCGTGGATTACTTGCTGAGATTGGATTTCCTCAATCTCATCCTACTCCTCTCCACGCTGACAATACAAGTGTTATTCAGATTGCTACTAATCCAGTTTTTCATGAGAGGACCAAACACATCGAAGTGGATTGCCATTATATAAGAGAAAGCTGTAGATAAAGGAGTCATTACTCTTCCACATGTGTCCAGCGATCTTCAAATAGCTGATGCGTTTACAAAATCCATGGCACAGCAACACCATCAGTTTCTAGTAGGCAAATTGATGCTTCTTGATCCACCAACATCAATTTGAGGGGGGATGTTAGCATGATGGACAACTAAATGATTGTATATATTAATGTAATTATATAGTGATATAAATTACCATGACCATATACATTTGTTGTAGAATCAAAGGAATAAATATTATGATAGAATAGTTGATTTGGAGAGATAGCAAGGTAGATTTAGAGGGATTGAATAGCAGTTTTATAGAGATAGAATAGTTGATCTTTAGGAATAGGAATGGTGGATCTTTAGGGATGTATAATTTTTATTTTCTCTATATAATGGAAAGACTCTCACTTTGAGTTTGAAAATCTTGGTTTTTGGCTACCTCTTGGGAATTTTGTTCTTGGTCATTCTAGTTGCTTTCTTGAGTCTTTGTAGTTTTCATAGCTATTCAAAAGCATGAATTCACATCACTTTGAATCCTTCAGTGTTCGTTTCACTGGAAAAAATTATTCTTCTTGGGAGTTTCAATTTCAGTTGTTTGTCACCGGCAAAGAACTATGGGGCCATATAGATGGAAGCGATCCTGCTCCTACTGATGCAACAAAGCTAGGTGAATGGAAGATTAAAGATGCTAGGGTGATGACATGGATTCTAGGTTCAATTGACCCTCTTATTGTTCTTAATCTCAGGCCATACAAGACAGCTAAGGCCATGTGGGATTACTTACAAAAGGTTTACAACCAAGATAATAGCGCAAGACGCTTTCAGTTGGAGTATGAAATTGCTAATTACTCTCAAGGAGGTCTTTCTGTTCAGGATTATTTTTCTGGATTTCAAAACTTATGGGCTGAATTTACAGATATTGTCTATGCAAAAATACCTACTGAATCTCTATCAGTGATTCGGGCAGTTCATGAGCAAAGCAAGCAAGACCATTCTTTGATGAAATTATGCTCCGACTTTGAGAGTGTTCGCTCTAACTTGATGAATCGTGACCCGTCTCACTCTTTGGATGTTTGCTTTAGGGAATTACTTCGTGAAGAGCAACGTCTTGTCACACAAAATTATTTTAAGAAAGAAAATGATGTCACTGTTGCATTTGCTGCTCAAGGTAAAGGAAAGGGCAGGGATATGAGTAGAACTCAATGCTACAGTTGCAAGGAATATGGTCATATTGCTAGCAATTATAGCAAGAAGTTTTGTAATTACTGTAAACAACAAGGACATATAGCAATTGTAGCAAGAAGTTTTGTAATTATTGTAAACAACAAAGACGCATTATCAAAGAGTGTCCCACGCGCCCTCAAAATCGTAGGATCAATGCTTTTCAAGCTAGGATAAATGGTTCCACTGATGATAACTCATCTTCAGGACAAGTTCTTACTCCTGAAATGGTACAACAAATGATCGTGTCAGCCTTTTCAGCATTGGGATTACAAGGTAATGATGTTACATCTAATTTTTGGATTGTTGAGTCAGGTGCTTCTAATCACATGACCAACTATACGAGCATCCTAAAAAATATTCATAAGTATCAAGGTCCTTCACAAATACAGATTGCCAATGGTAGTAATTTACCCATTACCAAGGTTGGGGACATTACTCCAACTTTCAAGAGTGTTTTTGTTTCACCAAAGCTCTCAACTAGTGTTATTTCAGTTGGACAATTGGTAGATAACAATTGTGATGTGAATTTTTCTCGTAATGGTTTACTTGTGCAGGATCAGGTGTCGGGGACGACAGTCGCGAAGGGGCCTAAAGTTGGACGATTGTTACCTATACGCTTTTCCATTCCTCCCGTTCTATCTTTTGCTTGTACTTCTACTGCTAGTAAAACTGAGGTTTGGCATAAGCGTCTAGGACATCCAAATTCTGTTGTGTTGTCTCACTTATCAAATTCTGGTTTATTGGGAAATAAAAATCAATTTTCAGTTGCTTCCATTGATTGTTCTACTTGTAAATTAGGCAAAAGTAAAACTCTTCCTTTTCCTAATTTTGGTAGTCGTGCTACAAAGTGTTTTGATGTCATTCATAGTGATGTTTGGGACATTTCATCAATTATTTCTCATGCTCATTTCAAATACTTTGTGACATTCATAGATGATTATAGTCGGTTTACATGGGTGTATTTTCTTCGATCCAAATCTGAGGTATTTTCCATGTTCAAGACATTTTTGGCTTACATTAAGACTCAATTTTCTACATGCATCAAATTATTAAGATCTGATTCTGGTGGAGAATATATGTCTTATGAATTCAAAAAATTCTTGCTTGACAAAGGGATTGTCTCACAACACTCTTGCCCATATACACCACAACAAAATGGAGTTGCTGAACGAAAAAATCGGCATCTTTTAGATGTCACTCGTACTTTATTGATTGAGTCATCTGTACCATCTAAATATTGGGTGGAAGCTTTGTCTACTGCTGTCTATTTAATTAATAGATTGCCATCTAAAGTGCTAAATCTTGAGTCTCCATATTTTCGTCTTTATCACCAAAATCCTAACTATAGTGATTTTCATACATTTGGTTGTGTTTGTTTTGTGCATTTGCCTCCTTCGCAACGCAATAAACTTTCTGTACAATCTACTAAATGTGCTTTTATGGGTTATAGTACTTCACAAAAAGGTTTTATTTGTTATGATCCATGTTCTCACAAATTTCGTATTTCTAGAAATGTTGTTTTCTTTGAGAATCAGTATTTCTTTCCTACGATTGTAGATTCATCTTCTGTTTCTCCTCTTCTTCCTACTTTTGAGGATTTATCATCTTCTTTTAAGAGGTTCAAACCTGGATTTGTGTATGAATGACGTTGGTCAACTTTATCATATCTCGACACTGATCCGCCACCTAAAATTGTAACACAACTAGAATAATTAATAGATTGCCATCTAAAGTGCTAAATCTTGAGTCTCCATATTTTTGTCTTTATCACCAAAATCCTAACTATAGTGATTTTCATACATTTGGTTGTGTTTGTTTTGTGCATTTGCCTCCTTCGCAACGCAATAAACTTTCTGTACAATCTACTAAATGTGCTTTTATGGGTTATAGTACTTCACAAAAAGGTTTTATTTGTTATGATCCATGTTCTCACAAATTTCGTATTTCTAGAAATGTTGTTTTCTTTGAGAATCAATATTTCTTTCCTACGATTGTAGATCCATCTTATGTTTCTCCTCTACTTCCTAATTTTGAGGATTTATTATCTTCTTTCAACAGGTTCAAACCTGGATTTGTGTATGAATGACGTTGGTCAACTTTATCATATCTCGACACTGATCCGCCACCTAAAATTGTAACACAACTAGAATTTGAGAATTTTTCAAGATCTGGTCCTCTTGAGCCTACTCGATGATCTACCAAAGTATCTCGTACTACCAATTGGTATGGCTTTTCCTCTACTTTATCCAACATATATGTTCCATCTTGTTACTCACAAGCTTCCAAGCATGAATGTTGGCAGAAAGCAATGGAGGAAGAACTTTTGGCTCTTAAAAGAAAATGACACATGGGACATTGTTACATGTCCTTCAAATGTCCGCCCTATTGGATGTAAATGGGTTTATTCAATCAAACTTCATTCTGATGGATATCTTAATCGGTACAAAGCTCGATTAGTTGTTCTTGGTAACAGACAAGAGTATGGAGTGAACTATGAGGAGACTTTTATACCCGTAGCCAAAATGACTACGGTGCGAACTATTATTGCCATTGCTGCTTTACAAAACTGGTCTTTGTATCAAATGGATGTCAAAAATGCTTTTCTCCATGGTGATCTTAAAGAAGATATTTATATGAAACCTCCACCTGGTTTGTTCTCATCGCCTACATCAGATGTATGCAAGTTGAAGCGGTCTTTGTATGGATAAAAACAAGATCCAAGAGCTTGGTTTGATAAGTTTCGGTCCACTTTGCTATAATTTTCTTTTGAACAGAGCAAATATGACTCATTTTTGTTTCTTCGGAAAACATCTATAGGTTGTGTTCTTCTTTTGGTGTATGTAGATGACATTATTATCACAGGAACTGATTCTGCACTAATCACTAGCCTCCAACAGCAGCTTAAAGATTCTTTTCATATTAAAGATCTTGGTACTCTTACTTATTTTTTGGGTTTGGAAGTTCATAATATTGTTTCAGGTGTGTTTCTAAACCAACACAAATATACTCATGATCTAATTTCTTTGGCTAGTCTTCAAGATTCATCCTCCGTAGATACTCCATTAGAATTGAATGTGAAGTATCGTCGTAAGGAAGACTATCTTCTTCCTGATCCAACTATATTTCAACAATTATTTGAGAGTCTAAATTACCTTACTATTACTCGGCCTGATATCTCTTTCGCAGTTCAACAAGTTAGTCAATTTATGCAAGCTCCCCGTCATCTCCACTTGGTGGCTGTTCGTCGCATCATTCGGTATGTTCTAGGAACATCTACTCATGGATTGTTCTTTCCAAGTGGTTCTCCTATTCTTCTTAATGCTTTTAGTGATTCCGATTGGGCGGGATGTCCTGATACTCGTCGTTCAGTCTCTGCTTGGTGTATATTTCTTGGAGAGTCATTGATATCTTGGAAGAGTAAAATGCAAGATCGTGTGTCAAAATCTTCAACAGAGGCTGAATATCGATCCATGTTTACTGCTTGCTCTGAGGTTGTATGGCTTCGTGGATTACCTGCTGAGATTGGATTTCCTCAATCTCATCCTACTCCTCTCCACGCTGACAATACAAGTGCTATTCAGATTGCTACTAATCCAGTTTTTCATGAGAGGACCAAACACATTGAAGTGGATTGCCATTATATAAGAGAAGCTATAGATAAAGGAGTCATTACTCTTCCACTTGTGTCCAGCGATCTTCAAATAGCTGATGCGTTTACAAAATCCATGGCACAGCAACGCCATCAGTTTCTAGTAGGCAAATTGATGCTTCTTGATCCACCAGCATCAATTTGAGGGGGGATGTTAGCATGATGGACAACTAAATGATTGTATATATTAATGTAATTATATAGTGATATAAATTAGCATGACCATATACATTTGTTGTACAATCAAAGGAATAAATATTATGATAGAATAGTTGATTTGGAGGGATAGCAAGGTAGATTTAGAGGGATTGAATAGCAGATTTATAGAGATAGAATAGTTGATCTTTAGGAATAGGAATGGCGGATCTTTAGGGATGTGTAATCTTTATTTTCTCTATATAAAGGAAAGACTCTCACTTTGAGAGACATTCAGTAAAAAATTGACAGATATGCTGAGAGCTTGTGTGATTGATTTCAAGGGTAGTTTGAATGATCATTTGCCTTTGATTGAGTATGCTTATAATAATAGTTATGACTCAAGTACTCAAATGGCTCCATTTGAGGCTCTCTATCATAGGAGGTGTAGGTCTTCTATTGGTTGTGTTATAGTTGGTGAGGTATCTTTGATAGAGCTAGAGTTGGTTCATGAGGCTATGGAGAAGGTTTGAGTTATTAGATAAAAGTTGAGAATGACTCAAAGTCGACAAAAGTGGCATTCGGATATTATAAGGAAAGAGCTTGAATTTGATATTGATGATTGGGTTTACTTAAAAATCTCACCTATAAAGGTTGTGATGATATTTAGAAAGAAAGGGAAGCTTAGCCCTGTTATGTAGGTCCATATCAAATTTTAAGGCGTTTCGATAAGGTAGCATATGAGTTGGATTTGCCTACCAATTTGGCATTAGTGCATCCAGTGTTTTAGGTTTCGTTGTTGAAAAATTGTATTGGTCATCATACTTTGGTTTTGCCATTGGAGAGTGTTGGTGTTCAGAAAAGTATTTTATGAAGAGGTTACGATTGAAATCTTGAATCATCCAGTCTGGAAGTTGAGACACAAAGAAGTTGTTTCCATGAAAGTTCTTAGGAGGAATCAGTTAGTTGAGGGTGCTACTTGGGAGGTCGAAGCCGATATGATGTTCAAGTAACCTCATGTTTTTCCCTCTACTTCAGTTTTAGCTTGAGGCATTAGTTCCTCGTGTTTACTCTTTCGGATTCATGTGGTTTAGCTATTCTCATGTTTCCATATGTATGCATGTTCATGAAAAACTTAATTTTTGAGTTATGTTTTAGCTTGGGGTGATTACTCCTTGATTTGTGCATTTTGATGTGATTTGCATTCATGTTGGGTTGTTAGATCTCTCTCCTTACTATATTCAAGATAGCTTAAGTCGCCATTCAAGGATGAATGTTCC